AAAGAATTTTTCGTCAGTGGAAGATATAGTTTCACCTATAATCTCGCTAGTTGTTGAAAACTATTCTGGTCGATACTCATACTAAGAAAATATGATGAGTACTGCCAACAAGGAGTACTCATAGGGATCTTGCCGATACTCATACATAAAAAAAATGGTGAGTAAATACTCATCAACGCCAAAAATTATCTGGAGCACTGGTTAAAGCATATAAGTCAAAGTTAGTGCATTTTTTAATTTCTATCTAGACATGGACGGGCGAGCACATAACAGTTATAATACAATGCCAAGCTGGTGTAACTGTATAATTGCCATTTGCCACATATGCTCTGGGAAAATACTCGGCACATTATTTATGAAAAGGACAGTTATTTGTAAAAGATTAAATATGAAACGGTGTACTAGTCATTAAAAGTGCATTCCTGCCCATATATCCATCAATGTATCTAATCATAGTAGTATTCCATTTATGAATTTTGTACACAAACAGAAAATATTGATAAGATAGACTCAACACAAGGGCTGCCTTGTTAAAATCTTGGTTTTCGTATAACGTCATCCGATAAATGTGCAGGCGAGAAATATTTACACAGCAACTGTAGACTGGCTAGACTTTTGCTATATTTATCTGTGCATCGGTAGGGCATGCAATATAATATGAATGAAACTGAAATTGGTATCGTTGTACTGATATCTAGGGAAAGTAAGTGTGACTAATATATTATTATTTTCTAAATGCCACATTACTAGGGCTGATAGGGTTCTATGTCCCCCAGGGTACTATCGGAGGGTACCCTGGGTACGGTTCGATATATCGGAAAGTACCTTGGGGTACTATACGATATGTCACTGCGTACACTGCATTGTCCCACCGTACCCTGACTTTCTCCCAACTGATGTCGTAATATATACACTCTGTCAAGTTACCACATCACATAGAAGAAACCTCAAAACATCGCAATCCAATAAAAATGTATGCTATGTTTGACTATATTTTTCTTTTTCCTTTGTTTTAAACGAAGGGCTAGCTTTTATATTTTAGTTTTACAACATCAGAAATACATCGGTTACAAACAAGTCGGTGTACGGTGGGACAATGCAGGGTACGCAGCGACATATCGTATAGTACTCAGAGGTACTTTCCGATATATCGAACCGTACCCAGGGTACCCTCCAATAGTACCCTGGGGGACATAGACCTTATCAGCATTACTAGGAGTTTCTTTTACAAAAAATGTCACTTCAGTGAGCTGCACAAAGTAATTTGAAATTATTATCACAGATTAGCAAGCGTGTGCTAATCTGAACCTATGTGACGCTGTTGCACTGCTGTTTGTAGCCGCTGAATTAAGTTAATTTTGAACAAACAGACATGTTATTGTTAGTTTGTTTAAATTTTGCAATCTATATTTATCAATTTGCAAGGCTTATTTGTGCTAAGTGTTGCATTTTTGAGATGTTTTTTGTGTACATATTATTCAAAACATGGTAGTGTTTGTATTGGAACATTTATGGAAGCTTATTATCGGGAAATGCCATTTTATCAGGAGTCTATCAATATATATCAATATTGATAGACTCCTGATTTTATGTTAGTCAGTGTCAAAAAGAAGTATATTTGTGGCTACGCATACATACATCATGCATACATTACATACGTGGCAGTAGCTAGTGCTCCTGCCCAAAGTAATAGACTAAAATATTGTAGTAAATTGCTTCGTTAATTTATGTATAACTAGCCATATCAATGCTTGTTGCACCATCGTGATCATGACTAAACATTTGTGAGTCTTGCCGAAATAGATAGTACAATATATTAAGGCTGCTCAAAGGCATTGTGTGGTGCTTTTGTGGTATACTATAATGATAATGTTACGTGCAGTCTTGAGATTTGCACAGTACTATGGTGGTGCACCACTGAATCAAAATTTGGTTCCGATGATTGCATAATACAATAATATCAATCACAGGATAATATACTTTCAGAAGTTGAGACTTCGTTTGTTGTTTATTAATGGTGGCTAATAAACCATGTCATATATCATATTTTAGGAAAAATCCAAGTTTAATATCAGGAGTGAATGAAAACAAAATGTTTTTGTGCACTTTTGATAAAATCACAATGAGCTTTTTGACAGATAGTTAATACCGCTATAGATTTATAATGACGCTTGTATTTATGCTGTAGGTATGAATGCAGCTCTGCGTGCGGTAGTGCGTATGGGAATCTACGTGGGCTGTAAAGTCTTCTACATCTACGAGGTTTGTGTTCTTATTACATGGTTTAATGTAGATGGTTATTTCATGTCTGTATATATACTCCTGCTCACTGATAATTCTATGAAAGTAAATGTTACTGTATGCAGACTGGTGGTCATGTATTGATTAAACTTATCTTGGGCAGGCTGTATACAGGGAAGCCATATAAGCATTCTATAGCTGTGAAAGTGAATACTATAATAGTCATCCAAACTAAACAATTCTGAGATAAATAAACGTGGATATTCTGTTATGGAAAGTTACTAGCCAATACTGTCAGTCTATTTTAAAACATATACATGCCTCTTATGTGAATGTGTTTCATATAGCTCTGTGATGCCTGTTCCATTTAGGCATCAGTCTTGCTTTGCTCTACTTTTACACGTTTCCATAGCTAAAGATAGCAAGGTCATGCCAGCGAGCAGGAGCTGCGGGTATATATGGACATGCTGTTGTATGAGCCTTCTAGACTTCTATTATTAAATTCTATTTAGGATCAGGAAATTCCTCATGTTTCATACATGTTATTTTACTTACGGGCTTACAGCATACATTTATAAGGTCACTTGAAATGTTAAAATGCCAGTGCAACTAAAATGGTGTATGTTAACATACACATGTTAAAATCATTAGAATTCCATCCTCTAAAGAACATATTGTTACTGTTAGGGGAGTTTTTTCATTAATTTATGCATAGCTTTGTATTTAAATCAGATTATCAAGGATACTTATATGGAGTAAAACTGTTTTGTGGGTATACTATATTATCAGGAGTGAATAATAGATCTCTGTTATTTACTCCTGATATTATGTTATGGCACTGCGTAGAAGCTATGGTAGAAGTGTAATTCTTCTCTCACTAATTATTGTTGATTAGTTGGTTGATCAAACAACATGTGACTATTCATATCATAATTTATCCTGAAAAACAGGAGGTGAAATGTGAATACCAGAGACAGCAGGTGAAATATCAGTTATCGGGTTATCATAATCAATAATACTAATAGCTATGTATTTGCTGTCATGGTAACCACAGTAAAACTTGTGGGATGCAGTAAATTTGAACAGTGTAACACTGGTGCATTTCTGATTTCACAATATGCTTAACTAAACCAAGTACTACTTTTGCATATTTGACAATTAAAGCTAAAAAATATTAATATCAGGAATTGATAATGGTGAATATGAACCTGGTAAATGGTTGGTACAGCAGTTACACGAAGTCCAGAAATTTTCACTTGCCCTACCAGAAGATTTACTATTTCTTCAGAAGATCTTGAATCAATGCAAAATGAAACCTGATTGTTTCATTGTTATTTCCACTTGGTCTGTGATATTCAAATGTTTTTATACCTATTCATCCTATGGAGAGGTGGAATAGCTGCCATGACTTTACCTATTGTAGTGAATATCTCGAAACTCGAAGCACTTGTGTATGGTGTATACACAGTGGAAAGTTGTAAAATCAGGATTTTATTTATTTATCGTTTATATTAAAATGACTATTGCGAGATTTTTGCTCAGAAAAACTAAATATAGCTGAATATAGTCTCACCTGACAGCGAAAATATCACTGATTACACCAACATTAAAAATACTAAGATTTTATGCAGTTATAGCATAGAAAATTGGATATGAACACATCGTAACAGCAATGCATTTTATCGTGTCGCGACAATGCCTAATGGCAGAATTGGTATACTCGTATTTGTGTCGGTGATGAATTGAAAAAAAGTGCGTGCCTGCACTGTGGGTATGGCAGATAAGCGGAGGCACCACAAGCCAATCCATACATCCTGTTAGTTCAAGATGACAGAAAACGAATGTTTACAAAAACGATTAGTTCGAAACTGGCAGTTTTCGGTGAATACGAAGGTTCTAAGACATTTTATTGTTACTCTAGACAATTGCTGTTACTCAAGCAATAACAGTAGGTATCATGAAAGTGGGGAAACACTGGAAAATTCTCGCAATAATCGCTTTAATATAAGAAAAATTGGCATGTGGGGTATTCAAACCAGAAGGTAAATGCCATCATGAGAGCTGGAGTTATATTGATATTGTATCTAAAACTGATTGTTTTGGAAATATCTTTGAAGGGTTATCAAGGTATGGTAGATGGTCATATTAAGGAGGCTACCTGGACAAGTCCATCTGGCATCATTGAAAAGGTATACCTTATAGGGTGATTAAATTCGTGATAGGTGGTAGCACCACTCGGCAGGCGTTTTCAGATTTTCAGGGGCAACATTCTTTTGTATTTTATGCCACCTGACATACTCTGTATCTATTACAATGTGATTTTTTAGAGCAATATAACAAATATGTGTTTAATTTAGATATTTTAACGTAACTATTGATGTGTGAATAGGTGTCTTTTTGCACCCGTGTCACTCGCTAAAAAGCTGACGACCACTAAAGATGTGCATAAATTGTTTTACCTTTAACTGTTCTGCCTCTGCAGGGAGGCACGGTGATTGGTAGCGCGCGGTGCAAGGAGTTCCGCGAGCGCCCCGGCCGCCTGAAGGCTGCCGCTAACCTAGTCAAGCATGGAATCACCAACCTTGTTGTGATCGGTGGCGACGGCAGTCTGACAGGTGCCAACCTCTTCCGACAGGAGTGGCAGAGCCTGCTTGAGGAGCTCGTTCAGACTGGTGAGAATGGCGTGCCTTGCTGAAATACAGAACAGCATGTATGTAGCGAAGAAACAAGTACAGTTGCTGCTGTGCAGTGCACAGGCCGATGTCTATCTCACATCAGTTAAGATGGGGAGGTGTGGCCATGTCTGTATGTCTCCAATGTAGGGCATGGTTGTTACCATTCCCCATTGGTTGAATGTTGTTGAAGCCCTCTCCTCACTGCCTTAATGCAAGAACTGCTCTCAAGAAGGCATAACGGGTTCACTGAAAATGAGCAAAATGGGCACAAAGAAAGTAGTGGAGGAATTTGATTATAATGAGCGACTCCAAGCACAAATTTACATTATGCTCTGTGAATTTTGCTTATTTGCTTTGATATTGTTTTTGTCATGACAATTTAACTATATATTTTTTTGATTTTTATAAAAAAAAATTGTTCTATTTTTCTGTTCTCGTGTTCTATTTACTTCGATATAATGGCTTTAATATAATATAAAATATAATATAATTTAATATAATATAATATAATATAATATAATGGCTTTAATAGTGGCTGGTGTAAACGCAGTTATAGGATCGGCACTGTGCACTCTAATCACATATTCAAATCTAACACATAGTTGGTTTATCTGATCTGTCAGCTCAGTGGTATATAGCAGTAGTAGTTCAGTAGCTGTTTGATAAGTGTAGCGTTCAATCCGTGTCCTCTGCTTATTGCGTTTCTCTGATAGTGTTGTATCGCACATTGCTGACATGAGTATATATTGTGTGTCAACTGTCAAGGTTAGCAGCACAGATCTGAATGAGTTTGCCTTTATCTAAATAGTTCACGTGAAATTGCAGCACGAATGTATATAAACAACCTTTACATATACATTTTATTGCAAATGTATATCTGGTCTTGGTAAAATAAGCTAGCCATAATGTGAAAATGGTGGGCCAGCTAGGTTGAAAAGATAAATAATAGCCACGTCTAAAGATAGTTTGTGGAGTGAGGAAGTTTTTTGCTGTACATTTACAACACTGGCATATACCGTTATCCTATTCTTCACTGCCGCATGCTCAAAATACCACTAAGCAAAACGAGCGGCCTAATCGGGACAGTATACATGAGAAAAATAATAGCAGGTCAGAACTATATACCATAAACTGTTTTTTTCTTGTGGTAACCACTCTGTTGCCCATGTACTCCTGGTGAGATGATGGGAACATCCCTTTAGAAAGGCGCACTGCCGCTGCACTCTGCCAATATCTGTTGTAGTCTAACAAATCAATACAGCACCAGCCTCTGCTGTATGCGGCTTCTGTTTGGTGTCTAGACCATAGAGAAGATGATGTAAACTAACCCAGGTGTTTAGCTACAGAATAGCATAATGCCATCCGAAAAAAAACAGTGTTCTTGTATCAGCACAATGGGGAAAAACAAGTTGAAATAGCTTCCTTTTTAAAAGTTGCCTTATGTTTGCCTAAAAACCAGCTTTTGAGCTGCAGTATAATATCAGGAGCGTATAATGACAAATTATACGCTCCTGATTTGTCAGATGATACGCTCCTGATTATACGCTCTGATTTGTCCTATATTTGTCATTATACGCTCTTGATAATATGCAATATTTGAGCCTGCAGGCCTTGCACATAGCTCTAGTTACATATCTGTTATATTGCGTCCTGGATCATTCACAAAATTATAATGAGCATAATTTTGTCCCAGCGTAAGATGAACTATCTGTGATTGCATTTGTATTTCCAACAACCTTCATCTGCACCATAGCATATACCTGAGTGGCATTATGATAAATTTAACATTCGTTATGGGAGAAAAAGAAAAGGAAATGGTTATTAAATAAGTGTACAGTGATATACCCCGTGATACGTAATTAAGTACCTTTGAACAAATGTTCTTAGTGCAAAAATCCATTTATGAATTTACATGATAACATTTGACTCCCCTTATGTAATTGCAAATATATTACCATGGAAATCTTTCAGTTTAATTATGTAATAGAGTCACAATTATGAATGCCAGTAAACATTTTACAGTATAAAAATTACGGATGAGCGAGTTGCCGTGTCCATGAGATGTCCATAGATCCGTATGAGCTGTGGTCATAATGTACAAATTGCTTATGGGAAAATCTTCATGACCTTACTTGCTGTAAGACGGAGTGTCACTGTACGTACTATTATGATTTTGTCACAAACCGAATGACTAACCAAACTATCTAAATAGCTCAATGTGATTCCAAAATCTACGGAACTCGCCCAAAGTCTTGTGTCTATTTTATGTCTGTGTTTGCAATTCTGCATGTGTATTCATTGTCTACCAATTTAGTACTAAAATTACAGTATCACTGTATATTATATCCCCCAGAAACGATTACGTTGGAGCAGTCTCAAGCATGCTCAGCACTGAACGTAGTAGGCATGGTTGGCTCTATCGACAATGACTTCTGTGGCACTGACATGACTATTGGTGCAGACTCAGCTCTGCATCGAATTATGGAGGCAGTGGATGCAATCAGCACAACTGCGCAAAGGTATGGTTCTTTGCAAATTCATCGACATTCACCTAGCGATTGTAAACGTTCGGCGTAATTGGTAATTGATGCGACTGCTTGGCATGATTGTCAGGTTGCTTTAGCCAATCATTGTTGTGAAAGGATATTGTAAAAGACTATTGCACCAAAGTGCTGCAAACTCATCAATTTGACATCCATGTATGTAAATCAATGTATGAACTGATCTAGCGTAAAGATGCATTCCCACGCACATGTTTGTGACCAACCACTGTAAAAACGCAAGTAAATAACTCACTATACACTTAACTGAACGTTAGCTTTGAAAATAAAACTGTAAAAATATGTATCAAGCCTATATTCCCTCAACGAAAAAACAACTGGAAAAATGTGTTTTGCTGCGGTTCTGTATCATGGCGGCAAGAGTCGACGCAGGTCACGTAACCAGCACAGCTATAGATATCATATAACACGTACATGTATGCATTAAATTAGCATGAGCATATGCAGCCTTCATGACCTTCAGCGCTTAGCTCATGCTCATGCTTGTTACAATGGAGCATGGCACGCATGGCAACAAGAGGCGTCACAACATCGCCGCAGTGCGGCAAAAGTAAACGCTGTTTGAAACATTCAACCCGACACTTTCACTTTGTAGTCTAAAAGCTTTGATTGAACGCATTCCTGACCTTTGTTTTACCTATCACACATACATGCAAGTACAGACGTGCAATGTTAAAATAATTCAGTTTTGCCTGATATTATGTTTTCCACTTGAAACTTTGAGGCAGGGCACCTTTAATTAACCTAGAAACTATCCAAGGGCGGGAGCATGGATATTTCACTCGGATAGTTAGGTTAATTCATTGAATTCATTTATTCATTTTTTCTATCATTGAGACTATTTATTGAGGCACGGTTTGGGATAGCAACGAAGTGAGAGCTCATCAGAAAAAAGCCAGCCACTATAGTTTTGTATACTCCACCTTGTTCAGTTGTTGTACAACAAGCAGTTGTTGTGCAGTTTTCTACCGCGTATTGCACACACTTCATGAATTTAAAGACGTAACACCATTTTCATTGAGCAGTCATCAGCGCACGTTTGTGCTGGAGGTGATGGGACGTCACTGCGGCTATCTAGCACTTGTCGGTGCCCTTGCCAGCGAGGCGGAATATGTCTTCACGCCGGAGTGGCCACCGGAGAAGAGCTGGCCAGAGCAGCTGTGCAGAAAGCTGGGCAGAGTGAGTATGCAGATGTTAGTGCTTATGATGTAGCAGTGTGCTCTACTTGCTTTCTATCAGTGCTGGGTCAGCATCAACTTCGGGATGCGGGTTAAACAAGTTATGCGACAGTTAATGCAATGAAACATATCTATCGATACTGGGGAAAAATGCGTGGATGTCAAAAGTATGACTGTAGGTAACTGTGCTTTACTCGAGTGTTTGTGTTTCAGACAAGGGAAGCCGGTCAGAGGCTAAATATCATTCTAGTAGCTGAGGGAGCTATAGATATAGAAGGCAATCCCATCTCTGCTGAGGATGTTAAGAAGGTAGGCTTCATTATTAATAGCAGCATGCTCAGAAAACCATCAAATTCAAAATGCTCTGGCAACCTGGACCTCAGGGATTCACTAACCAGTGTTTTCCACAGGCCTTTAGTGCATGTCAAGTCTGACAATCCTTCAAAGCTGGAGCTAATTTGGGACATCCCATAAATTCTCGGGCATGCCTTAATTTACAGCTGTGTTTTGACGATCCAAACCCAATTAAGCCCTCTACTTCTTTTCAATATTTTTCCGTTCACTAAGTGAAAATAAAACAATACATAGAACAGACATAGAAAGTTGTTAAATGTAAAAAATCAAAATATCCCTCCCTTGTCCATCCATAAACAGCATGCCTACTGAAATTCCTGGAGAGAACTCTGATAACATGCTGCATAACTTTGAATAAAATTAGGTTGAAACCATATAATACCAAGTATTATTCATAGTTATTAGCCATATCAGGAAAATGATTTAATTATATTTATTACTGGTTTTTTATCCACACTAATTTCCTTTGTGCCAAGTGAAATAAATAAACAGCGCCTTACGCTTATGTGAGTTTCAACTATAAGAGGGAACAATTTAAATGCACTACTTATGCCTGTGGTAAAATCTAAGCTCCGATACGTCGGCTTTTGCGTTTATTCTTTTCGCCATTAAAAGCGTGTAATGATTGCATGTGCACTTGTAGGTGATTGTGGATAACCTGAAGCAGGACACCCGCATCACTGTGCTGGGGCACGTGCAGCGGGGTGGCAAGGCATCCGCCTTTGATCGAATTCTGGTAAGAAACGGGAAGACCGTATACTGTCCACTCTTGAAACTGACGAACTACTCTCTTACGAACTTCAAACTTTGAATTTACGAGGAACTCAGTTTTGTTGCAAATTTATTCGTTAATAGAATAGTAATTTCTACTGAGCGTGGGTTCTGTAGGGCTGCCGCATGGGTGCAGAGGCAGTGTTGGCATTGATGGAAGCCACTCCAGAGACCCCTGCCTGCGTGATATCACTGGATGGAAATCAGACTGTCAGAGTTCCCTTGATGGAGTGCGTAGAAAAGGTACAATTAAAGCATTGTGGTTTATATAGTGACCATAAATTTTTACTTTTCTTTTTGTTTTGATTTCATGAAGTGGGGGGTCCATGCAATAAAGCCCCCGTCACACTAGAGCTACGCTCATCACGATCGCCCCACGCTCAAAAAATTTGGCCGAGCGTGGTGAGAGCGTGGCCAATTGGGCCCCAGCGCCGATACTACGAACTAAGTGCGTCTTTACCCCGATCTCATTGCGCCCAACAAGCTTTCACCACGCTCCATACCACGCTGCGACCAATCCGATCGCATTGCGTTCAAACGACGCTTTCACTGCGCCTAAGCAACGCTCCTAGTGCGACTTAATGATGCTCTAGTCAGGCGCCGACTGGGCTGGCAACGACCATATAAATACCTCGCCACGTTCTAGACATCATCATTCGTTCTGCCGTGCTGTTCACATCAAGATTATTTTCTACTATTTCTCCTCCTCATCTTCCTCAGCATGAGGGCTTGGCAATCAAGTAATTCGAGTTGTCCTTCTACGAGAAACATGGCATGGAGTAGTGTTGCCTCATCCATAGTGGACACTGAGTGGGGTGGCCAGGGTATAACCTCAATTTATACCCCAAGTTCGCAGGACGTGATCTGAGCGTGATATTGACGCAACTAACACGTAATGCGAACGCCACAACGGCGTGGTCTGAGCGTGTTGGGCATAGTACAATTGTAGTACGAACGGGTCGAGCTTGCTAGAGACGCACCATGGTCATAGCGAGAGCGTGGTCAGGTCGCAGAGACATCTCCATGGACGTAGTAACAGCGTGATGAAAACGTATTGACATCGTGCTGAGAACGGGGCGACAATTTTCACGCACCCGACACGCTTGCGATACGATCATTAAGTTCGTACTACGCTCGAGTTACGTGGGTACTACGCCTTCCACGTCTCTAATACGCCCGCACTGCGCTGTCTTTCCGCCACGCTCGCACCACGATTGTTTTGAACATGCTCAAAATTTGGCGACGCTCTCCATGCTCATGGTGACTGCACCGCACTCGATCGCGATCGCAGTCTGTCCATAGACGTTCATACTGCGTTCTACGTGTTTCCACCACGCTCTTAGAGCGTAGTACGAGCGTAGTGAGATCGGGGCCTGGTGTCACGGGGGTATAATGGAGGACTTAGCAAAAACTTATGTGTTTGAGATATTTTGTAATTGAAACTGAAATAATATAAATAAATAATATTTGACATCATTTTAATTTGGTTGTATAAATATGGCTTCAAATGTAATGTTAATGAGTTGTATTTCTTGAAATAGTTATGACGTGGATGAAAATTGGGCAAAAGGTTGGTAGTTGTTTTTTATTAATAGTATTTGTACGTATATAATATATACTTGTATAATTTTTTAGACCAAAGCTGTGCAGAAAGCCATGGATGAGCTGAACTTTGAACTTGCACAACGACTTCGTGGAAAGTAAGTGGTAGATCTGACCTATACTAAGTGCACATATTTCTCTCATGTCATGTCATGTTTAAAGATAGATGGTGAATTTTGTTATATGCGATTGTATATTAGTGTGTCCATGTAGCTAAATTAATTAGTTAACTATTGTATAGTTAACATAATCTAATGATCAATAAAGCTATGCATTTCAAGTATCTACCATATATACTTGAGTCATTAATACTATAGGGATTGAATTCGTCACGGTGGTAAACAATGTTTCTTGGCAGTGATAACCGTATTTTATCGACTAAAACTTTATACCATATCAAACTTTAAATCACAATAAACACAATTATAGACTTAGTAAATCATACTGTACAGGAGTATGGTTTTCTAGTGGAACTAATATAGCAGACCTGTGAAAGGTGTAGGCGATGATTTAATAAGGTGTCATGAGACTTGCATTGACTGCAATTGTGCATGTTCTGTAAATTATGCAAATAATTAGAAATGCTTAATGTTTATACGTGCAATTAAACAATATGTGTTCTTTTAGAAGTGCAGTGTAAGAGTTATATTTCTGCGGGTTTTTTAATCTAGGAGCTTTATGAACAACCTGGCAGCCTACCGAAAATTGAGCAAAATTCACCCACCACAATACTTGATCGAGAATAAAGAGATGTGTAAGGTACGTATATATATACTAGTGATGTCACGATCATCGATTATACTCGATCATCGGTTGAACAGTGGCTCAAACCAAGCGCTTGGTTATCAAAATCCATAATCGATTTCATCAACAACAAAAAAAACTTGATAAGAAAATTTGGAAAAGTGATGAGAATCAGAGATATCATCGCTACTATACAAGTTATCCTTTATTAACATACATGTATTATACACATAGTAGTAAACAGTGCAAAACAAACAGTAAACAGGGCTAAACAAGCACATACATGC